GGGGACTGTCCTATGCATTGAATTCTTGATCACCAACAGCCCACAGCATCCCCAGTCACCGTGACAAGCAGCTCTGCCCCATGTTTCCCTGGGGATTGCAACAACCAGGGCAGGCTCCAGGGACCTGCAGTGGTCCCTGACCTGGCTTGCTATTGATTGATTGATGTATTTTATTTTATATGAGACAGACAGAGACAGAGACCTTCCACCCACTGGTTGACTCCCCAGGTACCTGCAGTAAGTGAGGCTGGGCCAGACCCAAGCCAGGAGCTGGGAACTCAATCCTGGGTGGCAGGGATCCAACCACTTGAGCCTCACCTGCTGTCTCCCAGGGCGCGCATCAGCAGGAGGCTGGAATCACGAGTGGAGCTGACTCTCGTCCCCTCTCCCCTACTTGACTGTCCTCTCTGCCGTATTTGTCCTCCCTCCCCTGATGGTGTTTGCTGGGTCACCTTGAACTAAGACTCCCACCTTGGCTTCTCGGGAGCTAGACAGAAAAGCCCACCAGGCACCAGGCACCAGGACTGACCACAAAGCTGCAGGCTACGTGGAGCCATTTCCAAGGAGCCATTTCCCAAAGCAGTAGAGTTCTGGGCACAGGGCCTCTCTCCTCCGACGTGCAGGCCTGAGAAGGTGCCCGCACTTCTGCGTCTGCTTTGTAAATCCTCCTTTTAGAGGGGAAGGATTTGCACAGAGAGGCTCCTCCTTGAGTGCGGCTCCAAACAGGAAAAACAGGCTCCCCAGTCCCCCCCACCCCCAGTCTGTCTCACCTGCAGCTCAGACGTGCCCAAGGCCTCCTCCCCATCCCCCGCCCCAACCCGACCTCCGGTTCCACTGCCCAGTCCTGCTTTGGCATCTCGAGGAAAACACACTAAAAGAACAGAATTCTTTTTTTTTTCTTTTTTTGGCTTTATTTTGGTGACAGGTGAGATCCGTAGATGGAAAGTGGATCTGTAAGGGAAACAAGGGCAGAATCGTTAGCTTGGCTGACTCCGGGGGCTGGGCACTCAGGGCTGGCCAGCTTCACAGCCCCCACAGCCCCCACAGCCGCCCTGAGCCATCTGCGGAATTATTTGGCATGCAAATTTCCCCCATTTTGCACAGGGACTCTTCCTTTCTGCGAAACTGCAGATGGGTGGGCAGAGTGCTTTTCCCCTCCGGCTGGCTGTAAAGCCCTTTGCAAAGTGCCTGCACTTATGCAGCCCACTCAGCACCGGCAGCTTCCTCCTGTCCTGCCCCTTCCCCAGGAGCCCCCAGTGGTGAGCCATGATGGCGAGTTCATACTCCTTGACATCTAGATGCTTCTAGACGTTCCTAAAATTGGTCCATCCTCCCTCAGCAGGTGCATTAAAGCCAAAGACTCGTCCCTGCTCCTTTTCCATGAAGCACCCCCTCTCCCCAACACTACTCTCCTAGGCCCAGGGCACCTTCATTGGCCCAAGCACCGTTTCCCAGGGCCTGGAGCCAGTAAGTCCATCCTGCAAACAGCCACCAAATCACCTTCCAAAAACCCCTGCCTGTTGGGGTGGGTGCTGCCGGCTGCCCCTCCCACTTATTTATTTATTTATTTATTTTTTGACAGGCAGAGTGGACAGTGAGAGAGAGACAGAGAGAAAGGTCTTCCTTTTTCCGTTGGTTCACCCCACAATGGCCGCTCCAGTGGCGTGCTGTGGTCGGTGCACTGCGGCGATCTGAAGCCAGAAGCCAGGTATTTCTCCTGGTCTCCCATGTGGGTGCAGGGCCCAAGAACCTGGGCCATCCTCCACTGCACTCCTGGGCCCCAGCAGAGAGCTGGACTGGAAGAGGAGCAACCAGGACAGAATCCGGTGCCCCGACCGGGACTAGAACCCGGGGTGCCGGCGCCGCAGGTGGAGGATTAGCCCAGTGAGCTGCGGCGCTGGATTCCTCCCACTTATCTTGCTTCTTCCTCGCTGGCAGAGGACTTGTCTGGTTTGGATCTCCTCTCGGTCACGCTGGGGGGGCAGCCAGCCCAGTCCCAGCCCTGAGCGGGGACCCAGGCTGGTCTAATCCGGTCACGACGACTCATCCTCCCTGGCTTTCCCTGACCCTTGCTGGTGGCGCTCTCAGAAGACTCCTCTGTCCCAAAGTGTACAGTGAGTGAGACATGGACGCAACCCCGCCACCTGGGCTCTGGCAGAGGCGAGACTGGAGCCTGCAGGTTGCTTCCAGCGCCCTCAAACAGCTCCCTGCCTATGGGATCGATCACTCCACTGCGTTCCAGGCAGTTACTGGCAGGGCAGCAAAAGCAGCAGTCACGTGGGGAGCCACCAGCAAGGCTGGGGGGCCTGGGGAGGAGCCTGTGCCCATGACTGGCGCCTCCTTCCAGCTGTGCTGAGCTGTCCCACGGCAGCTCTGCACCCAGAGTCCATCTGTCCCCTGCATGGTTTATGTTGGCCCCTGGGGCCACACCCTAACCCTGCGTCCAATCCCTGGGCCTCTGGGATCCCCCTAGTGCAGAAAGAGAAGTCCCGGGTGTCACTGCTTGGGGCAGAAGAAAGGGGCCTTGCAGTGGGCGGCTGTGACACTGAACCTGTGAGACTGTGCTGTGAGTGATGGCAGCCATGACCCAGTCCCAACACAAGAGGTCTCCAGAGGCCAACACACAGCCTGGGCCATGCAGTGAAGACAGGGCCGTGCAAAGCCTCGTTTGCCACCAGCACAGACCTTCAATTAGTCACACAGACAGGCAAGGGGATGGGAAGACCCGAACCCAGCTCATCCACGCCACGCCCAGGGCCAACTCCAGTCCCGTCCTTTCCTCTCCCTGCCTCCCTTTCCTTCCCGTCCTTTCCCCCCACCACTCACACCTCCTCCATTTCCCGATGTATCCCCCCAGGGCTCAGGGACCCCTGAACTCTGCTTTGGGGTGTTGGACACCATGTTAAGCAGTGGGGCCCACTTCTACCAGCCATCAACCATCTGGCCTGGATGCAGAGTCTGGGCTCGGGTCTGGCCTGGCTCAGCACCCAGCACCTGCTGCTCGCGATTTGAACACAGAGCCCTCAGCCTTGAAGGCTGTGACGTCATCAGGTGCCTGTGTCCGCTGGAATTCCCAAGTGTTTCCATCGTTGAGTGTTTATAGTTCCCGCTAGTCTGTTTATGGTGAGTGATGGAAGTTTCCATTGAGTTGCCTTTTAAAATAAATGCACCAAAAGGCAGGGGTTTGGCACCGTGGTTAAGACTCTGTATCTCCATATTCAAGTGCCTGGGTTTGAGTCCCGCCTCTGCTCCCAATTCCAACGTCCTGCTAATGTGCACCCTGGGAAGGCAGTGGATGACGGCCCAAGTACTTGGGTTCCCACCACCATGTTGGATGGAACATCTCTGTCTCTCTGCCTTTCAAATCAATAAAAATGAAAATAAGTGCATTTAAGTTGAACAGTAAAATAATGTAAAGAAAAACATGGAGTGATATTACAGGTGTCAAAGGTCGGGAAAGTTTGGGGAACCCTGAGGTGAGAGATGATGGTGATGGTGATGACGATGATGAGGTAGCTCCTACGTTGCGTGTTTGTCCCACGCCAGGCCCGCGCCAAGTGTCTTAATGTGCATTCCCCCACCCGCACCACCACAGTAAGAGCTTTGCTGTTATTATCTGCCCTTGACAAGAGAGGCATCAGGAGGCGGGGACAGCCCGGATGCTAAAGGGCTTTCCGGCCCCAGTTCTGCCTGCCTCCGGTTCTGAGCACCACTGCAGGATCCAGAAGACCAAGTGCTCCAGCTGCTGTGACCAACGTCTGGCCACCGCCCGGCCCCGGGCCCTGCCCCGGCATCCCGCACAGCCACTGCCCTTGGAGGTAGCTCTCATTCTCCCTGCTGGAGATGACCCTGTCCAGAGGCTGAGAGGCGTGTCCTTGGCACCCATTATTCAGGTGGCAGAGTCGACTGGAACGCACCAGCCCCAGCTCCAAACCCAGCCTCTTCCAAGCCCCAATGAGAAGTCACGTGACCAGCTCTTATCAGTCCCAACAGTCCCAAGAGGAGGGCACCGTTATTGTCCCTATTTACAGACGAGGAAACTGAGGCTCTGAATTGCACACTTTCTGAGGCTCAGGCGCTCCCAGTCTTCTCCCATGAATGCCCCCTCCATAGGTGGCACAGCCCCAGAAGACGCTCAGCTCTCCCTGTTCCCAGCATCTGCTCCCAGCACCATGCGGGGGCGTTGTGGCCATTACCTGTCCCCTTCTGCGGCTGCTGGAGGTTGGGGAGGAGGGCTGAAATGCTTCCGTGACCCCGCCCGCCGCCCCTACCCTCACCCACCGACACCATCACTAAGAGTAAGCACTCGCCCGGCGTGGCCGTGGCAGTGGGTACGGCTGTGGATGCTCGTGGTGCTCCACCTACATCCCCTAGCTGGGCTCTGCACCGGCGCCTGTGCGTTCTGGACTTGGGCTGCTCACAGCTGAGAGCTGCCCCCTTCCCCAGGAAATCTTTCCCTGCCTGGTGGGAGCTGCTGTCGCCACAGACAACGGAGGCCACATTCGCCTGGTTCTTCCAGGGGTGACCGACAGAGGGCGCCAAGGAGCAAGCCACTTGCCTCCTGGTGTTCCAGGGCCCGCCAAGGGGTCAGGCTGTGGCTCTCTCTTGCTGCCCTCCCTGCCTTTCCCCCAGGAGCAAGTCCTCAATAAATCCTGGGCCTGCAACCCCTGTTCCCGGCTCTGCTTCTAGGGGGCCAGCAGAGAGGACAGTGATGGGGAAGGCAGACAGCATGGAGCTGGGGTGGCTGGAAGGGGCCTAGGATAGGTAGGACCAGAAGTGGCAGGAAAGGAGGCACCCTTTTCAGGCAGGGAGAAAGCTCCAAGGACAAGTCCTGAGCAGGGACAGGAACTCTGCCCACCCCTCCTATGACCTCCCACCTAGCACCTGTGACTTGGGGGACTGTCCCAGGGAGCGAGGATGAGGTCAGTAACGGGATCCAGAGCACCCAGGGCTGCCTAGGGCTGAGCAGCCTTGTTCTCGGGGAGGGGGGGTGCACCCACCTGCCGGACCGAGGGCCTGGGGGCTTGTTCACAAGGATTCAGCGATGTAGTAGGCAGCTCCCAGGGCCCCCAGAGCCACAGCCACAGTCCCGAGGGCATGGAGCACGTGAGTTACGATGTCCGGATGAGTGTTTTCGTGAAGGTCGTCTGTGAAACACAGCACAGCGGGGTGTGGGAATCAGGCTGGGGTGCCCGACTACAGCCGGACCAGGTGGACGTGAGGGGGCCCCCATCTCCACCCTGTCCACTTTCTCCCAAGGGAACACTGAATGCCCACAAGTCCCTGCCACAAGACCCGTGGGGCCGGAGGATGAGTGGGCCTGGGATGCCGGCTGCCCTGGACACTCGGGGGTGCAGGGAGGGCAGGGGGCAGGTGACAGAGTGGTCGAGGCTGCCGTGGGCCAGGCCATGTGCTAAGCACCTCACTCCCAGTGTCTTCCACAAGCCTTACAACAACGCTCGGAAGTTGGGGTCCTCCCTGAGGGACCCCCAGGAGGTCATGGACCCACTACAAGGCGGAGGGGATGATTAGGCCAATAACTGCAGAAAGTTATTGCAGAAGTACCCATATCTATTTCGATAAAAAAATCCTACAGGAGTAGGTCCTCATTAAATGTGAATGTGCATTGAAAGCCAAGAGCCAACACTACAATCTGCTGAGAAGGCAAGTATCCTGGCAAAGATGCTCAGATGGGAACAGGATGATGACCGCGGGTCCCCGGAGCCCAGGGCAGGGGCGAGCTTGGCCTGTGTGGAAGCCGTGCTGTGCTGTGTCACAGCTGCATCTCTAACACTCTAAGGTTAAGGTCTCTGTTCCCATTTCCCTCTTGCACCTGGAGGCCTATGCAGCTGTTTCCCTGCATCAACCCATGGCACAACCTGGAGCAGGCAGGCAGCGATACCAGCAGGCAGGGGACGCTGGGAGCAGTGGGCGGGGTGGGGGCAGGGGCGGGGCCTCCCTGGACATGGACGGGGCCTGCCACCAGGGCAGCAGCAGCCTTGACTCACGGGAGCTTTCTGCAGAAGAAACGAAGGGCAGATAGCATGGGTGACGCCATAGGGGCTGCCGCCAGCAGGCACGAGACGCCCAGAGACAGCCTGGCACACCCAGGCAGGGGTGAGGGTGTGCTGTGCTGTGGAGTCAGAATTCCTTCCTAGCCACAAACGCCCTGGGGGAAATTGACACGCAAGGCAAGAGCTGGAAGCCCACATCTACCGGCTCGGATGCAGAAGAGGAAAGAGAAAGCCCTGTAGGAGCCGTGACCAGCAAGCAGGAAAACCGGCTCCTCTCTGGGTAGGGGGGTGGGTTCCCCAGGAGGGCAAGGGCCTGGACTGCCAACCCCCAGGAAGTGGCAAGGCTTCCCGGAGGAAGATGGCGCGTGGCCGCTGGGGATACAGCCTGGCCCTGGGAACCGAGTGCCCCGGGGCTCCAGCCCCCCACACGCTCCGGAACCTGTAGAAGGTGAGGAGGCTTGGGCATCCTCTCCCTGGCACGAGCTGCCAGTCTCGAGGCAGAAGGACATCGAAGATGCGGCTGTGGCACAGCCCCAGACGTCGCCAGCAAGCAGAGCTGCCCGGGCAAGCAGCACAGGGGCAGGATCGCGGGCTCGAATAAGTCAGCTGCCCTAGGTGGACAGAGAAGGAGAGAGTTGCGGGGTGCACCTGCCTCCGGGAGGCCGTGGGGACAGCCTGGAAGACCATCCCAGAAGAATCCACCTGCAGCCGTGGTGATGCAGGGTGACCTGGGGAGAGTCTAGACTTGTTAAAGGCAACATCAGGGACTCGAGTTGGAACGGCCCACACGAGACAGCTCTTCCGGAAACTGTTCCCTTACCAGACGGCAGAGAAGACTATGCACGACGGAAAATGGCTGTTTTACACCCTGGGGTGCACCTGGCACCAGCAGCCGTACTAAGGACACCAGTGCACACTATTTCCCATCCTTATCCCCTCTCTGAATTGGCCCAAGCGGTTCTGACTCAATCTCATTTTATAAGTAAGGAAACGGAGGCTTTGCAGCAAGGAGATCCCGGCTGTGGACTTCAAGGTTATTGCCAACTCTGCAGTCCGGGGTGGGGGTGGGGGACTCTTGCCATGCAGATCGGCAGGAAGCGATGCGTGCAAGACTGCACACTCTGTGAGAGGCAGCGCCGAGGTTCCCGGAACGGGGCCAGCCTTGTTCTGTCGGCGGGTGTGTGTTGATGGCCTAGAAGGCAACCCCTGCTCTGAAGTGCAGTCCTGGAAGCACCACCCCAAAGGAATCTGCCTTATCTGTCCTCTGTTGCAGATTCCAACAGAACTCAGGGACGGCGCCCTCTGCTGTTGGGAAAGCGAATTTCCGGCTGGGTACTTCCCAGGTCTGAAGACTCACCCTTAGAGTGTTGAGTCAGAACGAACTGCCCCTGAACAGCCTGCGGAGCACCGCAGAGGGGCGTCTGCTGAGACCCTCGGACAGGGGTCTCGGCTCTGTTTGAATGGGGTAACGCGTCGCAGCCGTCTGGAACAGCACCGTGAGATCCTGCGTCACCCACACGTTCTTTCTCGCATCTGTTCCTGGAACGTCCTTCTTAAAATCCGCGGCTTCTTCTCAGTCTGCCGTGTCTCTGAAGCCGTCTGTAGCCAATCATGCTCTAGGTCATCTCCAAGCTGTGGCAGTCGGCCCTCCCTTACCTTAAAGCCGACTTCTCGGGGCCAAGCCAGCGTGCGCTCACTGGGTAAGGACAAAGGAACTTTTGTTCTCATGGGACACATACGTCCCGAGCATCTGACCACTTTGGAACACTTCCCAAGCCTAGGTGAGTCATGTTCTGCCCTAACAAACCTTACACGCACCTCCGTACAGAGACTAATTCCTTGACTTCTGTATCCCCTCGTCACTGTCATCTAACTCCAGAACAGCTTTCCCCTCCCCCCACCCCGCCCCAGTCCTCAGCAATAAGTCTGCTTGCTCTTGACATTTTGCAAGAACGGGATCCTACGGCGTGTGTGCTTGGAGGGACTGGCTTCTTCCGCTTAGCCTAAGATTTCTAAGGTTCATCCGTGTGGCAGCATGGATCAGCGTGTCATCTTGCAAGCAGCACTTCATGCCACATTTTGTTTGTCCGCTCATCGGTGACGGAAATTTGGGCTGTTGCCACTTTCTGTGATGCTGTCGCTCTGAACACTCATGTGCACGCGTTTGTGTGGCCGCACGGTTTGTGAATTCTCCTGGCAACACACCCAGGCCATGCAACTCCACGTTCCCTGGGACAATTCCATGCTGCCTCCCACAGCGGCTGCCTCACTACCCGCACACACGAGGGCCCCACTTCCCCACCTGCTCTCAGCACCTGTGATTGCCCGTGTGTGTGATGACAGCCTTGGTAGCAGGCTTGTAGTTTCTTGGGCTACACCATTTTCCGCATACAAAAAAATCTCCAGCCTTTCTTCCCACGCTGGCTCAAAGGGGGAAATCCCTTCGGAAGAAGTGTAGGACGTCCAGCGGGCCCACAGATGAGCCTCCAGCGTTTCTCCCTCTGCTCCTATCTTGACACGAGTTTCATGCACTCATTAAAAGATTCGGGAATAGAACGTTTGGCTTCCTACAGATTCCAGTTCTGAAGGCCTTAATACAGAAAGGTTCATCTTGGTGGTCGACAACCGTAATAGATGCAACACACTGTATAGACTCAAAGGCATCCCATATGTCAAGAACAGATTGGGAGCTGGTGCTGTGGTGTAGCAGGTTAAAGCCCTGGTCTGCAGTGCTGGCATCCCATATGGACGCTGGTTCGAATCCCGGCTGCTCCACTTCTGATCCAGCTCTCTGCTATGGCCTGGGAAAGCAGTAGAAGATGGCCCAAGTCCTTGGGCCCCTGCACCCGCGTGGGAGACCTGGAAGAAGCTCTTGGCTCCTGGCTTTGGGTCGGCCCAGCTCCGGCTGTTGTGACCATTTGGGGAGTGAAACAGCGGATGGAAGACCTCTCTCTCTTTCTCTCCTTCCCTCCCTCCCTCTGCCTCTCTGTAACCTTTGCCTTTCAAATAAATAAATCTTAAAAAAAAAAATCAGGTTGGTTCCCAGCCACAGGAATGCCACTGATGTGGCACTTCCTTGGATGGAGCCTGTCACTCACATGGCTCATTTATTTTATGCCCAAGCCATTCCAGAGGGAAATAAGCTATGGCCTGCTCAGGGCCACGGAGCCATGGGCACTGGCTCAGGGCAGATGCCGGGGAAGATCACACAGAGACCACCTTCCTACTGGGAGGGCCGTCGGGCCTCTTGGGAGGGAACGGCCAGCGCTATGAGCATCCTGGAGTCAGTGCTGCTCCAGGGGGAGTTGTCCAACCCCCGTGAGCCTCAGTTTCCCCATCCATACAACCGACACCTCACTAGTACCCCCGGGATAGGTCGACAGAAAAAAGGTGGTGACCCGAATGCCGGCTGCACGGACACGCTCGGTGACAGACCTTAGCTGTCACCGTTATTGCTAGTAGCACCAAGCAGCCCACTTGAGTTCCTGCTACACAATCCAGCACTTATTCAGACTCCGTTCGGCTCGCCAAGAAGATGGCGATAACCGTCCTATTTCCAGACAGAGCTCACTGTTGGAAAGCTTCTATGTTAAGCGGGAATCCATCTATCTCCTGTGTCCCCTCTGGGAGGGTGGCCAGTTTAGCAAATAAAACTGCAGGATGTCCATGCGATACACGGGACACACAAACTAAGACAGTCATGTGCTGCTTATCTGAAACTAAAACTGAGCTGGGACTCGTGCTTCTCTGGCTGGCCTGCCCCTGGGCCTTCGTCGGACCATGGGGAAGGAGGGCCTGGGGTGGGGGGTGGTTGCAGCACCGAGGTCGGCTCACCTCTCCCAGCAGACAGGTCACCTCCTCCAACCCCCGTCCGCCACCTGGCTCTCACTCCCCCCAGACCTCCTCACTTCCCACCACCCCGCACCATCTTCTTCAGACTGGTTTGCTAGACATCTCTCCAGCCCACGAGGACAGCCTGATGTGAACACGGGAAATCAGGATCGAATCTACATCTGAAACATCTACGGCTACGAATTCAGCCTCGATTGCCATTGTCCAGCAGTCACAAGGCCCTGCTGACTTGACGGCCCGGTAGTACCAAGAAGCTAAGATAAACGTGAATGCCTGTGCATGAATGCCTTCCACGGCTGGACCACAAAAACCAGGACTTCTGGTTTCCTGGGCCAAGATAAGAGAGACACCTTCAGTACCCGCAAGGGCACAGTTCCAGAACACGTGCTAAGCTCCCATCCCCGCCCTACCAGAGGCCACAGGGGTGGCCGGGGGCTCCCTCTGCAGGGAAGCCGGGAGGGCTGCCCCCCCAGCCCACCTGACTTCCGGGAACTGCTGGAGCTGGAAGGCTGTCCGCTCGGTTTCCGGGAGTGCGGGGCTGCCTTTGTGTTACTGTCTGGAGACAACAGGCTCCCAGAGGAGTGGCGGCTCTCGGGGTCTGGAGGCGCCTGGGCTGTGGGCTGCTGGGGAGCCGACACCGGGCGAGGTTGCTGGGGGGCAGCCTCCGGGCGAGGCAGCTGCGGGGCAGGGGCGGTCTCGGGGCGCTGCGGCGGCTGCTGCTGCGCCGGCTGCGGTGGCTGCGGCTGCTGCACGTTCTCCAGGCTGGGCTGCTGCGGGGTGGAGTTGGAGCTGGCATGCTGTGAGTTGGAGTCCCGGTGGCGTTTGGCCTCTGATCGTTTCTTCTTGACCTTCTTCATGGTGGGGCCTCCCAAGCCGAACGTGGACCTACATGGAGCTGCCTAATCCCTGGCTCCCTCCTAGAGGGGCCCGGCGGCCCTCTGCCCTCGGGGTGCGATTCTGGCCTCTGACTGGCCCCAGGCCCCACTGCACACAACAGTCACCCTCTCCTCCTGTGAGGTCACAAAAGCCAGGGTGACGCCTAGGGCAGTGCTCCAGGGCAGCTTTCTGCTCGGCCAGCCTGCTGCCTTTGCTCCCGGTCCTCCAGGTGACAGCAGCGGCCCTGGCCCGGGTAGGCCTGGTGGGGGAGAGGCGGGAGGGCCTGGGCCAACTGGATCCCGTGACAGGAGCGCCACCTGCAGGCACCCCTCAGCCGCTGCGTTCCTAGGCCAGGTGAGCTGTCTCACCGTAAGACAGCTCTGTCACTGGTTCCCACGGACTCCTTTCCCGTCCAAAAAATCTGTGCTCACCACGCAGTCCGTGCGTTTTGGGTAACTTTCCTGCAGACCTGGAGCGCCCCTGAAGACCAAACCTTCCATGACACACAGCCTCTTTCCATCTCAGAGTAGCTTCCCCTTCCTCCAAAGCCCCCACGGTGGACAGGAGCCAGGGAGGTGGAGGCTGGGGGAGAGCGCCCCAGCTTTGATGAGAAACTCACATTTGGCAGTTTTTTTTTTCCCTTACAAACATGCAAGCTGCTGAGAACATGAAAACTCTCTCAGATCCATCACAGGGATGACGGCAGCGTCGGCTTCCCAAGCCCCGGCGTGGTCGGGTGGAGCGGGTCATCAGGCTTCCTCTGTGTTAACAGTGTGCTCTTCACCTTAGGAGGGAAGAGGGAAAAGCGTGTCCTGGCCGGCGCATCCTCGGTCCCAGCGGACATCCCTCCCCGAGGCCACATCCGTGTGGGTGAGTGCGCGCTGCGGCCCCAGGACCACTGCAGCCGGGGGTGGCTCACGCACCTGCCCCAGGACAAATTCAGGGCAGACGTAGCTACAGAGGAAGGGGCCCAAGCAGGCCGTCCCCATGCAAGGCCAGACGCCGCAAGCCAGGTCGCATTTGGGGGCTTCTAGACTCTCCTTCTGCATAAGAGGACACTGAGGTTTGTGGAAATTACCTTCCCAAGGCCACACACGGGGTGGCGGCATTGCCAGGGCTAAATGCCAATTCAGGGCTCTTCCCTACCGGGGAGTCAGATCATCATAAGGCTTTTAGATGAACGGATTACAAAAATCCCCAGAGTGTGAGGATTGAAGATGACCAAGGTATGAAAGACCAGAGCGAAGGGACACTTAGACCAGCAGTGTCGGACGGCGTTTGATTGACTTTGGCGGAGCAGGGGAGTCTATGACGCAGGAATGCCCTTAAGTCATAGCAGATCCCTCAAGGGGATTCCGCTTAGATCTGAAGACTGGACGCCCCGGCCAGGAACCCAGCTGGGATTCAGCAGGCAGGACTGGAACTCTGAAAACCGGGCCTTCAGGCATCCGTGCCTGGGTTTTGACCAAGGTCCTCAAACTGGGTTTCAATCAGGGTTTCCCAGCCTGTTGGCATCTTGGCTGCCGGAAACACTCCAGTGTATTGCAGGAAGGCACAGCAGTGTCGCTGGCCTCTCCTGTGACGCCCATCCTAGGACAGCCAGAAACATCTCTAGACATTGCTCAGTGGGCTGGCAGGGGGTGTCCACACTGCCCCTGGCTGAGAACCGCTGACTTAAATGGCTCCGATGAGGCAGGCAGGTGGAGGCAGAATTCCCCGGTTAGGCATCAAAGAAGCAGGAAAGAGAAACAGAGAACCATAGAGGGCAGGCTCGGGGAGGAAGGAGGAGTTTTGCTGGGACCACAGAGGAGATCCGTGTGGGTCTCGATCAAGGGTGGTCCCGAGAAGCAGGCAGAGGGTGCTTTGCAGGTTGAGAGATTTTCCTAGAAAGACAATGCACAACGGCACTGCCACAGTTCTTCCGGCAAGCACAGGTCCCTAGCCTGGAAGCCCGAGCCTGTGACAGGGTCACAGCCCACTGCCCAGGCTCGCCGGCCACCACGCCACTAATGTTGACCTCTAGCCAACCATGAGCAACTGGGTCTCCGGCACACGCCTAGCCTTCTGCATTTGAGGGAACGCCACCCCTCCATCACTCCCCTCCCTACTGCTGTCCAAACGTGTTCCAAGGTCAAGACCCATCTCAAGGGCTCCGTCCCTCAGGCAGCCTTTCCCGAGGTCCCCAGCCTTCCTTCCCTGAGAGCCCCAGGGCGCTGTGTGACAAGCCGCTGAGATGCCCTCTGTCCTGCTCCGCTGTCTCTTTCCAACCCCACACCGTGAAGACCGTACAGGGCCCAAGTCTCCACGCACACTGCGGGCACCGCATGAGTGTAGGCAGGGGACAGAGAGCAGGAGCCTGGGGGTGGCAGGTGGGTGTGGGGGGTGGGGACATCTCAAGACTTCACTACCAAGGCGCTGGTTTCTGGCACGGACTGGGAGTTTTCTAGCCTTAGCCGGAAGACCAAAGCTGCAACAGTCCTTGTACAAGGGGCCTTTAACCCTGCTGCGCCAGACTACTTAGGGGATGCGGAAGAACGCGCCCAGCCGCGTGAAGGCAGAAGGTCCCTAGGGTGTGAACGTGCCCACCTAGAAGCACCTGGTGGCACTGGCCCTCGGATTGGACCATCTGTCCCGACACCTGCCAGCGTTCAGTGTCACATGTCACGCAGGAGGGAAACTGGTCCAGGAAGACGCCTGTTCTGCTCAGCAGCTGGAGCATGGCGGGGGCTGTGAGAACTGACCCCGTCCCTACTGCTGTCCCCGGGGGGCTGCAGCCAGACAAGGAGCTGGGGTTCACGGAAGACCCCACAGCCCAGGGCCCTGAGAATTACAGATCAAGCCCCCTAGGCCTGGAGTCCTGCTGGGAGGAACGGCCAGTGTAGACTGGGACCCACCCCTCAGAGCGTGGTTGTGAGGAGGAGACTGACAGGTCCTTAGCACAGTGCCTGGATCACAAAAGGCACCTCTGAGTTGTAGCTATTATCCCCCGGGAGAACCGAGGAACAGGGGCTGGGGTGTCCCTGTGCTTAGAAAATCCCGAATCTCTCATTGTGGCTTGGGTGGGCATGAGGGCCAGTCCTTCGAATCGGTTCATTTGCCCACTTTGGACGGTAGGAGGCCCCAGCGAGCACCCCTAGGGTGAGACCTCGCCGTTCATCTCCACCCAAAACGGAACCCAGAGGTCCTGGCGGCGCCAGGAGCAGGATTCTGACTTCCGGGATCTGTCCACTCCTGGGGACAGGGAGGCGGTGGGCAGCACAGGCAGGGGCGGCACTACGTGTTAGGGGGCGCGCACAGTGACCGGGCGTTCCCAGCCCCCGCCCTCGGCCCCTCACCATCCGTCTGGGTCGCGCGGTCCACCAGGCGGCCCCCGTGCGCTGGGGGGGCGGCGCGCCGGACGTCCAGGGCGCCCTCGGGGCGGCTGGGGCAGAACACGGCCGTGTGCACCTCCACAGCGGCGCCGTGCGGCGCGAAGACGCTGCAGAGCAGGCTCTCCAGGCGGCGGCGCGCCTCGGCCTCCTCGTCCGGCTGCGGCTGCACCACGACGCCGACGAGCGCGGCGGGCGGGCGGCGGTCGCGGGCGCGCACCTGCCGCAGGAGCAGCTGCAGGCGTGGCAGCTGCGTGCTCAGCGTCGAGGCGCGGCACATCACCAGCAGCAGCTGCTCCCCGCGCTCGACCCGCGGCTGCGGCGGAGGCCCGCCCGGCGCCCGCGCGTCCGCCGCCGCCACCTCCTCCCGGGCAGAGGCGGGCGTCGCCGGCCAAGCCTCGGGCGCCTCGCGCGGGCCGGTGGCCGCCGCCTTGCGCTCGGCGTGCCGCGGCTCCTCGCTGCAGCGCTGGGACTTGGCGGCCGGGCAGTCAGAGCTGCAGGTCCAGCCCTCGTCGCCGCAGCGCTTGAGCCGCCGCCGGGCGCCTTTGCTGGCGCTGCTGTGGCAGCTCGGGGCTCCGCTGGACGAGGGCCCGGCGGGCGGATCCGGCGGGGCCTGCTCCAGAAAGTTCTCCAAGGTCGTGGAGCTGTCTTCGTGCCTCCAGCACTCTCTGATTAGCACCACGCGGCCGCGGCCCTGCACGGACTGGACCTGATCCTGCTGCGGGTCCTCGGCCTTGCCCTCCCGCGGGGCCCCCTGGGGCCCCGGCCCCTGGTCCATGCGCGGTCCGGCTCCCTTGTCCCAATGGGCCGGGGGCCTGCGCTCGCCCGGGGAAGAGTTGTCCTTGCCCGGAGCATGTCACAATACCCCTGCGCCCTACCCCTTCGTCGTGGGCCGGGGCCTTCACCCCGCTCTTCCTTGGGAATCTTCCACACCGGGGAGGCGGCTGTGGGGCGCTGCTGGACCGCACCCTGCTAGGTTTCCCCGCGGTTTCTGCGTGCGGAATTCCAGACGCACCTCCCTTTTTATCCCATGGAGGGATTTTTTACGAGCAGGTCTCCAGGTAATACAAGGTTTTGTGCAGCCCAGGGTATTTGAAAAGCAGTGGGCGGGGGGCTTGCGGGGCAGCGGGTTGGACCGCAGTTTGGGGTGCCGCCTCCTACGTCCGAGTGCCTGGTCCCAGTCCAGGTCACTCTGCGCTGCCCACCCAGCTCCCTGCTAACATCCACCTGGGAGGCAGCAGATGGGGCCCCCCGTGCCCGGGTCCCTGTCGCCCGTGTGGGAGACTTGGATGGAGCTCCTGGCTCCTGGTTTTACCCAGCCTGGTCCTGGCAGTTGCTGGAATGGGGAGGGAGCCAGTGGATGGAAAATTTCACTCTGGCACTCTGCCTAGCAAATAAAATCTCAAGGGGCCGGTGTTGTGGCATAGCGGGTAAAGCCGTGGCTTGCTACACTGGCATCCTATATAGGCACCAGTTCCTGTCCTGGCTGCTCCACTTCCAATCCAGCTTCCTGCTAAGGAGCTGGGAAGAGCAGTGGAAGATGGCAAGATGGTGCAAGTACTTGGGCCCCTGCATCCACACTGGGGACCAGGAAGAAACTGGCTTCGGTTTGACCCAGTGCTGGCTGTTGTGGCCATTTGGGGAGTGAGCCAGCAGATGGAAGATCTCTCTCTCCGTCTCGCTCTCTATCTCTAGCTCTGACTTTCAGATAGTGAAGAAATCTTACAAAAACTCTTTAAAATATAAAATAAAAATAAGAAGCAGGGGTCTAGGATGCTGTCCCACCTGGGACTTCTGAGAGCAGTGAGAACAGACGAGGCTGTGGCCTGGGAGGCAGACCTGGCGCCGGCTCAGCCGGGCTGTCCCGCGCGGAGGAGCTGGGAGCAGAGCCCTGGCTGCTAACGCTGATGGGGCTGCGCCAAGTGGTTCTGGGTCCCTTCAGTTCCAGTCTTCTGTGGGTATCAGAGGCCTGTAAGAATGCCAGGGGGAAAAAAAAAAAACAAACCTTTAACTGCCCCACACAGGGGAAAGAGCCTGAGATGGAGACGGCCGCAGAATTCGGGAACCCAGCTGTGGAGACAAGTGTTCCCTCTTGATTTTTTTTGAAGATTTATCTACTTATTTGAAAGTCAGAGTTACATACAGAGAGAAGGAAAGGCAGAAAGAGAGAGAGAGAGAGAGAGAGAGAGAGAGAGAGAGAGAGAGAGAAAGTCTTCCATCTGCTGGTTCACTCCCCAGTTGGCCTCAACGGCTGGAGTTGCGCCCATCCAAAGCCAGGGGCCAGGAGCTTCCTCCCGGTCTCCCATGCAGGTGCAGGGGCCCGAGGACTTGGGCCATCTTCTCCTGCTTTCCCAAGCCACAGCAGAGAGCTGGTTTGGAAGTGGAGCAGCCAGGACTCGAACTGGCACCCATATGGGATAATAGCACTGCAGACTTTGGCTTTACCTGCTACGCTACAGCGCCAGCTCCTAATTTTTTAAAAATGAGATTTACTAAGTTGTTTAAAATTATTTTTAAAAAAATATGGGCCGGGGTGGGTGGCAGTGGCGCTGTGGTACAGCGGGTTAAAACCCTGGCCTGAAGCGCTGGCATCCCATATGGGCGCCGGTTCTAGTCCCGGCTGCTCCTCTTCCGATCCAGCTCTCTGCTATGGCCTAGAATAGCAGTAGAAGATGGCCCAGGTCCTTGGACCCCTGCACCTGTGTGGGAGACCCGGAAGAAGCTCCTGGCTCCTGGCTTTGGATTGGCCCAGCTCTGGCTGTTGTGGCCATCTGGAGAGTGAACCAGTGGATAAAGACCTCTCTGTCTCTATCTCTCTCTCTCTGTAACTCTGTCTTTCAAATAAATAAAAAAAATCTTAAAAAAAAAAAATTAGGGGCCAGGGGCTCGAGCCATGGCGCAGTGAGTTAAAGACCCATTCTGCAGTATCGGAATCCCATATGGGCGCCGGTTCGAGTCCCAGCTGCTCCTCTTCTGATGCAGCTCTCCGCTATGGCCTGGGAAAGCAGTAGAAGATGACTCAAGTGCTTGGGTTCCTGCACCCACGTTGAAGACCTGGAAGAAACTCCAGGATCCTGGCTTCAGATTGGCCCAGCTCTGGCCATTGTGGTCATTTGGGGAGTGAACCAGCCGATGGGAGACGTTTCTCTCTCTCTGCCTCTGCCTCTCTGTAACTCTTTTAAAGATTTATCTATTTATTTGAAAGTCAGAGAGTTACACACAGAGAGAAGGAGAGAGAGAGAGAGAGAGAGAGAGAGAGAGGTCTTCCATCTGCTGCTTCATTCTCCAACTGGCCTCAACGGCCGGAGTTGTGCTGATCCAAAGCGAGGAGCCAGGAGCTTCCTCCCAGTCTCCTATGCAGGTGCAGGGGCCCATCTTCTACTGCTTTCTCAGGCCATAGCAGAGAGCTGGATCAGAAGTTGAGCAGCCGGGACTTGAACTGGTGCCCATATAGGATGCCAGCATTGCAGGCAGTGGCTTTATCCACTACGCCACAGTGCCAGCCCCATAAATAAATCTTAAAAAAAAAAAAAAAATAGGGGCCAGCATTGTGGTGCAGCAGGTTAAGCTGCTGTTTTTAACATCAGCATTCCATATCAAAGTTTGAGTCCCAGCTGCTCTTCTTCCCATCCAACTCCCTGCTAATGCACCTTGCAAGACAGTGGAAGACGGCCCAAGTGCTTGGCCCCCAACCGTCTCTGAGTGAGACCCAGATGCAATTCCAGGCTGCTAAGTTTGGCTTGACCCAGCCCCAGCCATTGTGGCTGTTTGGAGAGTGAACTACTATAGTAGATGGAAGATCTCTCTCAATCTCTCTCTCTCTCTCTCTCTCTCTCTCTCTCTCTCTCTCTCCCTCCCTCTCCTTCCCTCCCTCCCTTTTCCCCCTCTCCCTCTTTCCCTCTCTGTGCCTTTCAAATAAATAAATAAACCTTTAAAAAACATTAGGGGCTGGCGGTGGATGTAGCAGGTAAAGCCACCACCTGCAGTGGCGGCATCCAGTATGGGCACTGGTTGCAGTCCCAGCTGCTCCATTTCTGGTCCTGTGAAGGCAGTGGAAGGTGGCCCAAGCGCTTGGTCCTAGGTGGCAGGGACCCAGATGGAGCTCTTGGCTCCTAGCTTCAGCATGGAAGGTATTGCGGCCATCTGGGGTTTGAACCAGAGGATGGAAGAGCTCTGTCTCCCTCTCTTCTCTCTGTAACTCTGCCTTTAAAATAAATAAATCTTTGTTAACAAAATAACAATATTAATATTATTAATAATAATAGGGGCCAGCGCTGTGGTCTAGTAGGCTAAGCCTCGGCCTGCAGAGCTGGTATCCCGTAAACATGCAGGCTCAAATCCTGGTTACTCTTCTTCTGATCCAGCTCTCTACTAATGGCCTGGGAAAGCAGCAGAAGATGGCCCAAGTGCTTGGGCCCCTGCACCTGCATGGGAGACCCAGAAGAAGCTCCTGGCTCCCGGCTTCAGATTGGCCCAGTCATGGCTGTTGCGGCCACTTGGGGAGTGACCCAGCGGATGGAAGACCTCTCTCTGTCTCTCCCTCTCTCTGTCTTCTGTAACTCTGCCTCAAACAATCAAGTGAATAAATCTTTATTTTTGAAGATTTATTTGTTTACTTGAAAGAGTTACACACACAGAGAGGAGAGGCAAAGAGAGAGAGAGGGAGAGAGAGAGAGAGAGGTCTTCCATCTGCTGGTTCACTCCCCAGTTGTCCGCAAAGGCCAGAGCTGGGCTGATCTGAAGCCAGGAGCCAGGAGCCTCTTTGGGGTCTCCCACATGGGTGCAGGGGCCCTAGTACTTGGTGCATCCTCTAATGCTTTTCCAGGCCATAGCAGAGAGCTGGATGGGAAGAGGAGCAGCCGGGACATGAACCGGCGCCCATATGGGATGCCGGCGCTGCAGGTGGAGGCTTAGCATACAACACCACAGCGCCAGCCCCGAATTGCAGCTGATAACTGGGGTGTTTCACATGCGTCAGCTTCACGGGGACCAGCAACGGTGAGAGCACATTTCCAAGCCGCAGACACAGCAGCTGAGGCTCAGAGAGGTTCGGGAGCTTGTCGGTCAGCAAAGCCTCACTGCCTGCACATCTTGGGTGCCCGGCCCCCCCGAGCTGGGGAGCAGGGGTGCTGGGAGGCTCATCCCGAGCAGGGTGGGGGAAGGCTACAGACGGGCCGGGGGGGGAGGGGGAGCAGCTGGGCCCAGCCCCCTGCTTGCTTTTGGCCTTAAGCTGTGAATTCTTCTGGGTGCACGGTTTGACAGCACAGCGGGGATAGTTTGAGAATTGGTTCTCACCAGCTGGCTAATCTTTAATTAAGACAATTATAATAAAATATTGCAAAGTAAGGAGACGGTGAGAAGACTCCAGGAGGAGGGGAGCTCCTCCCTTAGCCGTCTCCCTCATCAGAGCACTGATGTCCAGCTTGGGCCGGATCCGAGGGCTGCGAGCTGAGGGCTGAGCGGCCCGCGCCCGCCCCACGCCTGCTGGAGCCGCTCGGCCCGTGCCCGCTGTGCCGTGAGGCTGAGTTTGAGGAAAGGATTCTGCTGCTGATGAACCAGCCGAGCTGAGTAGCGGTGTGGGTCGTTTTGTTATTTATGTCTCAAAATCGATTATTTCCAATAGGTATCATAGGTACTGGCTAGACATAAAGACATTGTGAGTAGGGGCCGGCGCTGTGGTGCAGTGGGTTAAGGCCCTGGCCTGAAGCACCGGCATCCGTCCTGGCTGCCAGTTCGAGACCCGGCTGCTCCACTTCCAATCCAGCTCTCTGCTGTGGCCTGGGACAGCAGTGGGACATGGCCCAAGTCCT